ATCGGCTGTCTACAAAGACGTTGCCCAGGGGACGCCCAGATGTCTTGCAATCCTGCGAGGAGGCTTCTCTGGGAAGGAATCCCACTGGAGCATTGCAGCGCACCCAAATACCTGGGAGTCACTTTGGACCGTGCTCTGACCTACAAGAAGCACTGCCTGAACATCAAACAAAACGTGGGCGCTAGAAACAACATCATACGAAAGCTGACTGGCACAACCTGGGGATCACAACCAGACACAGTGAAGACATCTGCCCTTGCGCTATGCTACTCTGCTGCTGAGTATGCATGCCCAGTGTGGAACACATCTCACCACACTAAAACAGTAGATGTGCTCTTAATGAGACATGCCGCATTATCACGGGGTGTCTGCGCCCCACACCACTGGAGAAATGACACTGCTTAGCCGGTATTGCACCACCTGACATCCGCCGGGAAGTAGCAGCCAATAGTGAAAGGACCAAGGCAGAGACATCTCCAGCTCATCCCCTGTTTGGGTATCAGCCAGCACGTCAACGACTTAAATTCAAGACATAGTTTTCTTAGATCTACAGAGACACTCGCTGGAACACCTCAGCAAGCGAGAGTCCAAAAGTGGCAGGCCAAACCCAGCACCTCAATCCATGGGTGATACCAGATGAGAGACTCCCCCCTGGGCACACAGAAGACTGGGCGACTTGGAAGGCGCTGAACAGACTGCGCTCTGGCACCACGAGATGCAGAGCCAATCTTAAGAAATGGGGCTACAGGGTGGAATCCTCGCCATGCGAGTGCGGAGAAGAACAAACCACTGACCACCTGCTGCAATGCAACCTGAGCCCTGCCACATGCACAATGGAGGACCTTCTTGTGGCAACACCAGAGGCACTCCAAGTGGCCAGATACTGGTCAAAGGACATTTAACCAACTACCAAATTTGCAAAATCTGTGTTTTTTTTTTCTTTTTAATCTGTGTGTTTGTTTTGTATTGTAATATAGTGGTACAGTACAATATAGTAATATATAATTCTAATATTGTGCTATGCTATTAATATAATATATTTTATGTTTATATAACTTGTAAGCCGCTCTGAGTCCCCTTCGGGGTGAGAAGGACAGGATAAATGTCATAAATAAATAAATAAAATATCAGAGAAGAACCAGATGGAGGGACTGATGTTTTTGAGAAAGAGGGATGGAAAAACCTTGTGGACACTTCCCTAGTGAATGCACTGTTGAGTGGCCATGGACATAATTTTGAACATCCAGAGCCAAAGGGAGAAAGCAAAGAAGGAATCCTGGAGTCCAGTGATGCATTTCACACAAAAGGCCACCTTTACCACATATTTCTTGTGTGAAAGTGGTGTGTAGTAAGACAGTAAATGTAATAGGTAATTGTCATGCAGGTATCTTAACAGGTGTTCAAAGCAGGACATTTTTACAGTGCTCTCTGCTCTGGATTTCAACTGATATTGTATTCTAACCTCCTGATATTGTTTCAGGGCCTGGTGACTATCCTACTAACCACAGGAGCAGCCACGTTAACAACGACAGCCTGGTATAATGTCAACAAAACAGCAGCCTATTTTATGTACCCCTACTTAGCCTGGTTAACTTTTGCTTCTGTGCTCAACTACCGGCTCTGGAAGGACAATCCAGATAAGAAACACTAGTTACATGTACACTTTTTCCTAAAGCAAGTCTTACCAAAGAAAGGACTTTAAAAAAGTTTGTTTATACCGTCCTATTGCTTAAGTCATTTGCTGTGCCAGGCAAATGTTTTTTTTTAAAAAAATAATCATGTACATGTTCAGCTAAAATGCAAACAGGTTTACAACATAAAACTGAAATAAAATAAAATGACAAAGTGAAAGACTACAGAATTCTGTGATTTTTAGCGACTTGTTCAACGCTCTAAGTCAGGGGTCCTCAAACTTTTTAAACAGAGGGCCAGGTCACAGTCCCTCAAACTGTTGGAGAGCCAGATTATAATTTGAAAACAAAAACCCCATGAATTTATTTATTTACATTTGCATGCCGTCCATAACAGCCCGAAAGCGACTCAGGTGATTCCTATGCATACTGCACATATCTTACTTGTAGTGCAAAAAATACTTTAAAAAATACAGTAATTAAAATAAGGAACAATCTTAACAAACATAAACTTATTAGTATTTCAATGGGAAGTGTAGGCCTGCTTTTGGCTGATGAGTTAGGATTGTTGTTGTGTGCTTTCAAGTCATTTCAGACTTTGGTTGAGCCTGAGTGAGGGCCGGGTAAATGACCTTGGAGGGCCGTATCTGGCCCGCGGGCCTTAGTTTGGGGACCCCTGCTCTAAGTCCACAGTGGTATTAATACAGGAATTAGGGAGAGATGGGTCTACATTTGTGGGTTACACATGCAGACATCTTGTTTATGAATAGACTTCATTTCAAGGTGAAAGGAGTAGGCATGCTTACTTCCTAATGCTGCTCAGAGATTGCAGAAACACAGGGACAAATTCAGCAAAGGGCATATACAAAAGATCAAATTACATCTTAGTTGGCAATCACTTGACAAGTTTTAGATGTTGTCAATGCCTTTAAGCTTTGTGTCACAGTGACATGGGCCCAACAGACATGAGAGATTTGAAGATGAGAAGTCAAACTAGTAGCAACTTGCTTGGAGAAGAGTTTTAACTTGAGCATTGTATTACATAAAGCAGCTGTTCTGCATCCTGAACTATTCTCATCAACCGCCCCCCCTCCCAAAACTAGTTAACATATTTCAATTAAGCCAAAATACTGATGGTGTCTTTAAGAATGGCATTAGTAAACGTTAAGAAGGCAGTACTACTTTTAAGGAGTTGCATATGTGTGGCATCTTAGTGAGAGTTGCACAAGAAGCCCAACCATACTAGAGTTACATTACAACTCTGGTGTGATGTAATTCTAGAATAGCTGACATAAATTTAAACAATGTGAACAGGAGCTCAGTCTTATTAACTAGAATGGTCAAGCAATTCCTACTGAAACAGCCAAATGCATCTTGTTTCAAGTAATTTTAAGTTCGATTTAAATGGTTCTTGCATCTTTAGGTATGTGACAGGAAAAATATCTTCATACCTTTGTCACTGCTTGATTGAGCCTACAAAATTGAGGGGGGAGGGTTCAACAGCCTGCCTCTTTTCTCCAGACAGGTAGCTGGGAATTTTGGTGATATAGTCCCAAGTTGAACTTTCCCATGTTTTCCCACTTTGGCTACCATCAAATCAAATCAATCACGACCTCTGAGGATGCTTGCCATAGATGCAGGCAAAACGTCAGGAGAGAATGCCTCTAGAACATGGCCATATAGCCCGAAAAAACCTACAACAACAGGAAACTATATTGAGAGAATTTAGAGATATTAAACTCTCATGGTTCCATTGTCTACAGTTAGAGCAATGGTTCAAGAATTGGATAAAAAATAATGGGGAAGGAGGCAAACTTACACAAGTTGAACAAATGATACAAAAAGAAAGAGCGACGGGAGGATACCACAAGCTGAAAGGAATAACTAGCAAATTGTATAAGGTAATTGATATTAAGGGGGAAAAAACAAAGGATGTAACATTAAGATAGATATGGGAGGAAGACCTAGGGATTAGAATAAAAGAAGCGGATTGGGTACAATTATGGGATCAAAGATATTTAAAGAACTTATCGATACGTGTTAAAGAAAATTATTACAAATTGGTTTGGAAATGGTACTTAACACCAGTAAAGATTGCAAATATTAATAGGAAGACCACAAAAATTGTTGGAGAGGTTGCCAGGAGGTGGGTACATACATACATATGTGGTGGCAATGTAAATATGTAAATGAATTTTGGGGGAAGGTATTTGGAGAGATAGAAGCTATAATGGATATGAAGATAGGGAAAAGTGCAAGTATTGCATTGTTGTCAATATATAATGTTAATAAATTGAAAAAAACAGAATAGATAACATGTTAACTGCAGCAAGATTACTGATAGTGAAGAATTGGAAAGGTAAAATAAACATATCAATTGAAGAATGGTATAAAGAATTATGGAAAATAGCAATAAATGATAAATTGACATGTAGGTTAAGAGTCAGGAAAGGGGTATGGAAGGAAAATGATTTTGATAAAGTTTGGGGAAAATTTATTGAGAATGGCTTAAAAGAAGTAGACGGGAAATTACCTCCACAAGAAGAAATGGTATTTTGGAAAGAGAATGCAAATTGAAGTGGCTCAGAAGGGGGGGGCACAGAGGTGGGGAAAAAAAGTATACAAGATATATATACATTTTGGTTGATGTAATGAATTGAGGATGGAATATAAGATTATTGAAGGTATTATGATGTATTGATGTATTCCAAGAAAACCAATAAAAATATTTGAAAAAAAATCAAATCAATCACTACCTCTGAGGATGCTTGCCATAGATGCAGGCAAAATGTCAGGAGAGAATGCCTCTAGAACATGGCCATATAGCCCGAAAAAACCTACAACAACCCAGTGATTCCGGCCATGAAAGCCTTCTACAATAAATCAATACAAGTTTGGCAGCTGAAGAGGCAGTTCTATTTACATTCAACACATAAAACATTCAGGTGGCTGGCCACACTGTAGTTTTAATATTTATTATCAAACAGAAAGACATACTTGGTGAAAAGAAAACATATCGTAGTATTGTATCTGGGCTTCAAATTCTTCCCTGCCCCGAGTCAAAAGATGCTGAAAGAGTAGCTGTTTTTTAATGGGAAAGATATGCCAGTGAAGTCAGGCTATACTTAATCTACCCACCATCTGTCAGAATAGTTCTAGAAGTAAAAAAAAGGAAAATAATACAAAGAAGGAACATCAACACAAATACAGTGGGAATGGGACTAAGGCAAGAATTGGTTGACCCGGGCCTTGACTTGCTAGCATACTTGAAATTCATAGAAATAGATAGCATGGATTATGCAATCCTTTCTCTTCATATATATTTTTTCAACTAGAGACAATAAAGATGGGCTGGTACTTCAAAGACAGTTTATGGTACCTTGCTACAACATGATTTATTAAAATTGAAATCTCTGATCACATGAGCCAACTGCAGCCTTGAAATAAAATGCTTGGTTTTACAAAAAAAAGCATATTAAAAGATAGGGACATAACAGTATCAAAACAATGGACACAGATTGCCTTAAGGGCAGTAAATCATGGAGAAAGGTATACAGATTTTTTTTTCTGTAAGCAAACTAAACACAGTAACTACAGAGATAGGGAAACATTGATTTGCTACTGAAGTTCTGAAATCATCCTTCTCCAATAAAAACATAATTTGGGGTGGTAAGCTAACAATACAATAAAATACTAGAGGAGAAAGCAGACCATAGCTTACAATATCCACGTGTTCCACCTGATTATAAGTGATTTGTCCTTGTTGCCATTATAGAAAGAAATAGTTGCATAAGCAGCTCATAGAACTGAAATATAAATATAATATATATTCCTGTGAAGCACACATTATCAGCCAAGTGAAGCCACAGAGCTAGGCAATCAAGGTCACATGGCAACCACTGGTTTCATCCCGAAAAAGTGTGCTGAAGACATCGTTGAAGAAGGTTGGGTGGTATTTGCAGGCTCTGTCACAATCAGGGTTGAAATTCACCTCCAGGATCTGAGGCTGCATATATGGCTTCCCTATAAGACAAATAAGATACATATCGTATTTTTCCAATTATAAGATGCCATCGAATAATTCTGTTTCTTCATCTCACCCTGAGTTTTCAAATAACTTTATGTACATGTGGCCCGTTCACTGTCATTAAGTTTGGTCCCAGGCTCCATGGCAGGAAGAACCCCAAGATTCCTCAGGAATCCCTCTGGATCCATCAGTCTCCTGGGGCGGACCATCTAAATTTGTCCTCCACCCCTGTGGAGGTTAGAGGTCGCAGAAAGTCTAATGACAAAGGAAGGATGTTTTGTTCTTCCACTCTGACTATTCCACTGTCTGCCACAAAAACTAGGTCGAGTGTATGTCCAGCCTGATGGGTGGGTCCAGATATAATTTGTGAGAGCCCCATGGTCGTCATGGCGGCCATGAAGTCCTGAGCCACACCAGTCAAAGAGGTCTCAGCATGGATGTTAAAATCTCCCAGCACAACCAGGTGCTTGGAGACCAAGGCCGAATTTGAGACCACATCTGCTAGCTCAGGCAGGGAAACTGCTGAGTCGCGGGGTGGGCGGTATACTAGCAGAAACCCCAAGCTGTCACGGTTCCCCAACCTCAGGTGGACACACTCGAACCCAGATGATTGCAGAACAGAGCATCTGACCACGGTGATGGATTGCTGGTGCACCCTGAAGCCCGGTGGGCACAGCTGGGTGAGATTTACCCCACCCAACTTGTCCAACCAGGTCTCAATAATGCAAGCCAGATCCGCCTCCTCATCCAGGATCAAGTCCTGGATGGCAGCGGTCCTTCTATTGACGGATCTGGCATTAACCAGCAGAACCTTAAGGCCAGGGGGTCTGTCATGGAGTCTACCACTTCCTACCTTCTCCAGGGTCGCAAGGTCTGTTGTGTTTCTCCCTGGGACGTTGGTGACCAGCAAATCTCCTCCGCCACATGACCTGGATGGTGCCCCCCTCCTCCGGAACCCCTCCCCCCCCGCGTGACTAGGATCTATGGCTAGTCAACTCTCTGAGGAAGTGGGGCTGGAGTATAACTTCCCTTGGATGTCCTGTAGGGATGTTTCCGATGTCAGACTGGAGAGGGAACTGAGTGGGCTAAAAAGGGGGAGTGTTCTTGGGCGGGAGATACCTATGCTAGCCAAAGCTAATATGACTGGAGGACACTTTAAAAATTATTATTATTATTATTATTATTATTATTATTATTATTATTACTTTATTTGTACCCCGCTAGCATCTCCCAAGGGATTCGATGCGGCTTACAACAGGTCGGAGCCCAACACAATACAACAATACAATACATAGCAAATAAAACAGTTAAAGCAGAAAACAATAACAGTAGTAGTACAACAGGACATTATTAAAAACTGAGCCGGCCAGGAGTAGGGTACAGGATTAAAAGTGCTGAAGTGTCGGAGGGATATGGGATTAAAATATAAGTGCAGTGTGCGGTGAGGGTGATCTTAACTCTACTAAAGTGCTTCTGGGCTTTGGTAGTGGGGTTCCTAATCTGAGAAGGCACATTGGAACAGCCAGGTTTTCAGGTTCTTTCTGAAAACCACCAAGGTAGGGGCCTGTCTGAGATCTTTCGGGAGGGTATTCCAGAGGCGAGGAGCCACCACGGAGAAGGCCCTGTCCCGCGTCCCCACCAAACGCGCCTGCGATGCAGGCGGGATCACGAGCAGGGCCTCTCCAGATGACCGGAGTGAGCGTGTGGGTTCGTAGACTGAGATGCGGTCTCGCAGGTAGGGTGGTCCCAAACCGTTCAGGGCTTTGTAGGTAAGCACCTGCACCTTAAATTGGGCTCGGAAAATAAACGGCAGCCAGTGGAGCTCCTTAAACAGAAGGGTTGACCTCTCTCTGTAATGGGCCCCCGTTAGCATCCTGGCTGCTGCCCGTTGGACCAATTGGAATTTCCGAGCCGTTTTCAAGGGCAGCCCCACGTAGAGCGCATTGCAGTAATCCAGTCTAGATGTACCTGTTCCAACTTGTACCTGTTCCAACTTACATACAAATTCAACTTTAAAACAAACCTACAGAATGTATCTCGTTTGTAATTGGGGACTTCCTGTATTTTATATTACATTATATATCATATTATATTACATATACACTTCATTTAGTTTTTACTGTATAAACGAGGTTTGGAATTTTTTTGTTTTACACTTCTCATGTACTACAGTTGATTCTTGTCTAGTTTCCTCTATAGCTGTACCACGTGGCTCATCACAAACATTATTTTCAATAGATTTTCTTTTCTTAATTATAAACGTATCCATTTCAGTCATAATTACTGCAACTCAATCAACACATTGTGCAAATTATAAAGGTTTTAATAGTTCCTACACTTGAACAGCACTAGCACTTCCCTTCGGGATGATTAAACCCCTGTGGAGGTTCTTAAACAGAGGCTGGATGGCTATTTAGGGGTGCTTTGATTGTGGATTCCTGTCTGACTGAAGGGATTCCTGCCTGGCTGAATGGATTGGACTCGATGCCCTTTGGGGATCTCTTCCAGAGGCGTCTCCTTCTCTGGAGGTTTTTGAACTGAGGCTGGATAGCTGTCCATTGGGAGGGCTTTGGTTTCCTGCCTGGCTGAAGGTGGTGAAAATGCTCCTTCCAAACAGGTTTTTTTTTTTGGGGGGGGGGGAAGCATTTTTCATGCGACACACCGTTTGGAAAGCTCTGGTCTTAAAGTTGAATGACCCTCCAGTGTTTATCCCTTGGATCCCTGGGAGGTAGGGAGCTTTTCTCTTTAGTTCCATGCAATTATATAGACGACTGAAGCGACCTTTTGCTACTTCATGTCCTTTCTTCAGGTGTCTTTTTATGTGTGACGATGTGGAGGGAAAAATATTTTATTTTAAATCTTTTTACTGCCTTGTATTGATGTATTTTCCCCTATTTAAATTGGCTGGGGCTTCCTTGTGAGCTTTTTCCTTGAGGCTTTTATATTACAGGCTTGAGACACTCTTGTAGTAAACGAAGTAACAAAGTTTATGTATAGCTTCTGGCTCCAACGCTTATGGTTACATTTGTGTGTTCCTGTTACAGTCTTGAGTCTTACATTAAATATCATTCACTTAGTTAACCTTTCTTATCAAACTTCAACTGTTTCACATCAACAAATATGTTACTTTTTCATACATTCTTGACAGAACTATATTCCGCCTTAAACCACACTGGCACTTCTTTATTTTCCTTAAAACTTAAGCTCAATTTTCCTAACTGCTTATCTCTCACAGCAGTCCCTAACTGTCCTTCACAAACAGGAATCCCTAACTCAAACATTTTGACTCTCTAACTGCCTATTTTTAAACTTAACTCCACCCCTTTGGAATGTTCAGCTCTCTTCCCCCCAATTGCCATACTGGCTCAGTGGCCCTTTCAAATCCTGGCCTACACTCATCTACATACGACCAATCGGCTGCATGTATCCAAATAAATCTTGCCTCTACTGTTGCTACCCTATTTCTACCAATTCTGCCACATTGCAACATAGAGCTATACATCAAAAATTTAACATAGATCAACAAATTCGCTACAACGACCCATAAAAAGATATCCAGATTTCTTCATTTCAAAGCAGTTCTACCCATCTCTTTGGTTGTGAATGTAATCAAAACCATTACTTACCATCACTGGATGTCTCCCACTTAAGCATCAAGTCGATGGCATAGATGGCTCGTGAGGATGGATAGTCGCAGATACCAAGTGGAGCAGGTTTTGCACAAGCTGCTTGGAATAACTCCACAAAGGCCTTGAAAATATCTTCCTAATGACAAAATCACATTTGCAATATAAGTACCAGTTAAGACCACACAAATCATTTGCCTAGCTTGACAACACTGTGAGCAACACCATTTTTGTTAAGCTTTAAAAGGCATCATAATGACTTGCATTTTTAGCATAACAAATAGTATTTCTTTTAAACAATTGCTTTTGCAACTGTCGTATTGAAGGATTTGGGGTAGTATTTTTAAAACCTAGAACAAAACTAAAATAAACTGACAACTATTAATGTAACAAATTATTTTCAACAAAAAGCAACATAAAGGAATACTGTTTCCCCTCCACATTGATGAGGGTTAGGAACATAGAAGCTCTAAAAAGTAAAACAAAACCCTGAATAACTATCACCTTTCTCCAAAACATACAGTTCAGACTTTGATCACTCCCTTGCTCAGAGAATTCGCCTGAATTTCAAGTCGGGCTTTTCCACCCGTGTATCTTTTCTCCTCCCCCTCCTGATTTCCTCTTCCCATATCTTACTATTTTATCTCCTGCCCACCATGACACTAAGACTGCATTGCCACCATCCCACAACAAGCTTCATCCTGAATTTAAGATGAGGGAAGCCAAAGGAGTGAGTGGGGAAGAGGCAGATTGCGGGGACTTGTAATGAACTACGGGGAAGAGAGATACTAAGGAAGGGATTTAAAATCTAGATGAGGATTAGATGCAAAGAAGAGCGATGAAGGAAGGAGTTTAAAATCTGAATGAGGCATCGATGGAAAGAAGAGAAGGGGGAGAAATGGATGAAAAAGTTAACACTCTGGATAAGGCCTTAATAAGTTGGAGAGAAAAGTTTAAAATCTGGTTCAGGCTTCTATGGAAAGAAAGGGGGGAGCAGGGCTAGTGCTATTAGCAGGATAGTGTTGGAGAGGCAGCAGAAAGATCAAGATGAGGAAATCAAGCTGCAGCTACGAACTAAATAATGACAGTTTCAAAAGTGAAATACATGTATATGGAGTATCACCTATAAATACAACTGTAGTTTAAAGTGTTGTCTTCAATATGTTAAATGCTATCACAGAATCAGGCTCTCTTATGTGGAGATTATTATTTCCTCCAGTGTGTTGGGGACTGGAACCATATTTATTCCCATTGACTAGTTTCTTTTCCAGAAATTCGCTAGAGAGTGGGATAATGCTCTTTATCTTCCTCCCCTAACATTTCATTTTTACTAGCTCGATTACAGTACGATCCGCATTTCCACTATGGATGTGTTGCAGAATGCCACCTACCAATATCATAAAATCATGGATAATAGCATAGCAAGTCCTGTATTTTGATTATACTTGTGCAGGATGCTTGTCTCAGAATCACACTGGTGAACCTAGAGATGCCTACAAACACTTTATTTTTGGGGGGTGGGGGTTGGAGGATGAATAAGTGAAACCAAGGACATCAACTCTGTTGATAAGGCAATGTATTTAAATTTTTTTGATAGTTTTCAATGCACTTGTACAGAGGAGGTGGCATAGCATCACATGTGGGAGGTGATCATGATCAATCAGTGGGGGGAAAAAAAATCAAAACTCTAAAAACTTTTTATCAAAAGAGAAAAAAAAGAAAAGATAATAGAATCAGTACAGACTTACTTGAATAGATTTCCAAGAGTAATCAGGATACTGCTTCTCAAAGAGAGGGATATATTCATTATAGTGTATCTGGAAAATAATACACCATTTGATTAATAATGCAGCTTTTAAAATATATGATTCCCTAGAGTTATTTCTCCAAGTCCTAGAGCCACACTCAATTCTAAGGCCCTCCCTGGTGCAAATCTACCAAAAGTGCTCTAATTTCTTGGGATTTTCCCTATTCTCCAGCTGCCTCAAAGTAGAACCATTAAAAGCCATTTTCCAAATGGATCACTTGTCCTTTGCCATCACTTCAGCAGAATTGCTGTATATCTCAATTTCCTTCCTTTCTCTTCCCTGTACTGTATTGGGCTGCAATTGAAGAGGGGGGTCACCTGAAACCAGGTGGAGGCCTATTTCCGCAGGAAAACTCCTATTGTGTTGTGAAAGGTAGTTCATCAGCTAACCACCCACCTTCTGCTCCCTCTTCAGCAGTCCAATTCCTTCTGGGTAAAGCTTAAAGCTATCTATGCTATATACATGATGTTAACACACTTCAAACAGGATCCCCCCCCCCCCTAAATTCTACTAAAGTATCATTTCTTCATAAATCATCTGTAGATTAGGTTTGTGTTACGGAAAGAGGGCTTAAGGAAAACAGTCTTCATTTCCTCAAAGGCAAAGTCACCTCTTTCAGCTGACTTTTCATGAATATGTATTATGTTTATATCTATGAGGGAGCTCTAGATGTCTGTATAGGGCTTTTTGGTGGTGAAGCATCTGGTTTCTGAACATGCCACCAGCTAAACATCTAAAGCAAAGCTTTTCAAACTATATACTGCGACATGGTAGTGTGCTTGCTGCCGTGTGCAGATGTGTCACGCAAGAGAAATGACAGTAGTCTTGAAAATGTATGTCATATATGTTTTTAAAATCTTGAGTGAAAGATTTTCATGAGATATGTTGTGTCCACATATATATAATTATTACAATTTATGGATGGATCCATATCTCTAATAAGCGATTGGTTTAATCTCTGGCTTGTTACTAAAATTACGTAAAATTATGCATGCCTAAGGAGTGTGTCACCAACATGAAATATTTTGAAAGCTGTGGTCTAAGAACTTAAAGGACCGTCTAATTTAAAGCATATTCCATTATATGTCCGTGACTGCATTTCAGTGTACGAACCCACACGATCCCTTCGTTCATCTGGAGAGGCCCTGCTTACGATCCCACAGGCATCGCAAGCGTGATTGGTGGGGACAAGGGATAGGGCTTTCTCGGTAGTGGCCCCTCGACTCTGGAACTCTCTCCCTAAGGACATCAGGCAGGCCCCGTCGCTAGCAATCTTTAGGAGGAGCTTGAAAACATGGATGTTCCAGTGTGCCTTTCCAGAATAAGGAAACTCCTAGCATTATGTCCCAATGCACTTTATTTAGAGATCTAAGATATCTGCATGCCCACCCCCCTTCAAACACCCCAACTGTCATGCTCAGCACTTTTTAATTTTAATTATTACATTTGGCCTGGCCATTGTTTTTAACTGCGTCATTGTGTGTTGTTAATGTTATTGCTTGTTTTTGTTTTATTTTCCTGTATTATTGTTGTTGTTTTATTGCTATATTTTGGGCTCGGCCTCTTGTAAGCCATACCGAGTCCTTCGGAAGATGGTAGCGGGGTACAAATAAAGGTTTATTATTTCTTATTATTATATCACCCTCTCAATCACAGTGAAGGACACGGTCTTGGTTTGATGCATTACTGCATTTCATTGCATGATATTAACTTTTTATCTCTTTTTTTTTTTTTTGGCCAAAAAGGGGTGTTTGACTATTACCAAATTAAAAAAAAAAAACGCCTTGGAGTCATTGGGTTGTTTTGGTTAAAAAAACAAACCGCTTTACTTCTGATACAGAAGGAATGGTCCCACCTCAAACAAACAGCTCCATTTGTTTGTTTGTTTTTTTAAGTCTGACTTGCCTTGGGGAAAGGAAGAGGGAAGATTTCCCCTCCTTTCCTTCTTTCTCTGAAGGCAAGGCAGTTTACAAAATCTGAAATTCAGCTCTTTAGAGAAAGGAAGGGAGATCTGAGTTCTGGAGATCTCCATTTCAGGTTTTAAAAACTGCCTTGTCTTCAGAGAAGGAAGGAAGGAAGGAGGGCGGAATCAGCCCCAAATGGCTCTACGTCCATTATGTGAAGAAAGGAACAAAGCCAATTTTGGAGCAAAAAAAAAAAAGGGGGGGGGGATACGATGATTATGCAGCAGCAGGTATTATATGATGAATTATGGTATTTACTTACCTGTTTTAAAGATACAGTGGGATCATAATTCATGACAGTGAAATGCTTTTCATAATCATCCAAATCATCAAGAGAAAAGGGCCTTAAAAATAAGACAGAGAAAGTGATTAATTTCCCAGAAAATTCAGAAACCCAGGAAGTTTGAATATTGTCAAAGTGATAAGAAAGCAGGCATTACCGATTTGAGAACCGCAGCCAAAAGACATCATAAACATATAGCCTGAGGGGTTTAACTGATCTCAACAACACCACGTAACGGATGTCAAATTTAACCAGTCCCACATCTTCAAGATGAAACAATACTGGTTTCTCAATATACTTAGACACCACCTGAAATGGGAGGGAGAAAAAAAGAATTGTGCAAGACAGCAATGAACTGAGTTTTATGTTGCATCCCAATCTTTGGAACAATTTTTGCCACCAAAGCAACTTACAATTCACAGCTATATAAACATCACCAACAAAACTGGGGGAGTCAAGCTTCTTTGCCACAAAATAGGGCTGCAATAATATTCTTCCAAATGTGACTAGGGAGTCTTCAGCAATAGAAGGGTTTAGATTTCAAAATAATTGAAACAGAGATCCATCTACCTAAACATGGGAAGTGGGAGTGGTGATCAGATCTCTGAAGGAAAAGATTTCTGTACCTGCGACCACTACTCAGAAGGTCCTCTCTTGATGGCTACCAGTTAAATGTGGAGATAGCTCTCCCTGTCCTATGCCAATAAGACTGAAGGGATATTACTAAGGGAAGCATATGAACGATCTTGGAAAACCATCAGGATTTCTTCATTCCACATCTCATCCTAGACATAGGACTCCAGATATAAAGCAATCCATTCTTACTTGTGAGAGAGCTCCACTAACGTTGTGAAGATTCATCAAATGGTATGGAGATTTTAGCAAAATATAGCTATATGTTGCAACTCCAAGTACTTGCATCTCACAATAGGTTTTGAAGCATGGTTTGTGACCTTGAAGAACTAGGCCTTCTCTAGCTTTATTACATTACTTGGAAAAGATGTGAACTAAAAACATGCCGAAAAGTTCATTACCAGTCAAGAGTACAAGAGCAATAATCCTCTTACTGAAAGATGTGTTGCTTCACAGCAAAGAAATGAATGGTTGAGAGAGCCAAAAACTGCCATACCTAAGTTTTATTGCTCCATAAAAGCACAGCAAGCTGTATTTGCAAGGAGCTCCTGGGAAAACACTTTATAGTCAAATTTCAATCCAAGCTCAGCAAAACAAGCTCATGCAGAAGAAAAAAACATTAGGGACCATTTTAAAAGAGAGAAAACAATCCAGAGGTACTTCAGTCTCTTCCAGAAAATCAAAGTCCATGCCTACAAGACTTGCTTTTCTCTGACCTTAGGGATGCTCTCTCTTTGGCGGATGATGTTGTTAAGGCTCTTGGTGATGTGTGTGTCTAAGCTTCTAGCCAGGTTCCAGGGTTTACATATCCAATGGTTGTCTTCACCCCTGCAGCAAGACGGAAGGGAGGGGGCACACAGCAGATTTATATTCATTTAATGTCTGTACCCAAACATTTTCCCCTAGCTAACAATATCTTCTCTTAAGTTATGCAACTTGTGCCACACCAAACCAAGTAGCAGTTGTATTTTATTCTTCATTTGATCAAGAGAAGCATGGTACCCAACACAAGGAGTAACACATACACGGATCAAAGCCAGACAATGGATAGACATGCTAATGTGGCCAAGTGAAGTCGGATCTGGCCATGGTGGTACAAGCCTTTGTTATGTTCCATTTGGATTAATGTAATGTGATCTGTTTCCAACTGCCTTTGAACAGTGTTCAAAAACATCAGTTGGTCTAAAGAGCAGCAGCCAAGTTATTACATGGGGAGCTCAAAACTCCCTGTTGCAACAACTTCATTAGCTGATAACCCGTTTCCGGGTACAATTCAAAGTGCTGTTATGATCTATAAAGTGCTTTATGCTTTGGGTCAGGTTAGCTGAAGGACCATATCTCTCTTTATGAGCATGTTAAAATGCTAAGATCATCTGGGGAGCGCTTTCTCTCCATCCCACCATGCTCTGAAGTGCATTTTGGTGCTACCAGACTCTGGAATTCTTCTCCAAGAGAGACCAGGATGGCCCTGTCCCTGCTTGCATTTTGCAGCCAGATAAAAACACTCTTCTGCCTTCAGATAAGTATACACTGATGAGGGTGCGCTTCTGAAAATAGTATGATTGGGATTTTAGGGTGGGTGTAGAGTTTTTGATACATTTTAATATTTTATAGCTATTGATTTATAATCAAAACACTTAAAAGTAATACAATTGTCTTGTCATACCATCTATTTCATATCCTCTGCTCACAAAACTTACCTTCTTTCACGCTGCTGAAAGAAACTGATAAACTGTGGCAACTCTGTATGAAGATTAAAGGTTCGAGGCAGCCATTTTGGCCCTTCACTGCCTCCAACCCGCCTGGAGATTGATGCCAGACAATCCTTAACAGTCAAAAGATTCTCACATGGAAACTGATTCAGCATCACATGAGGTCTTTCTTCACTAAGTTTCCTACAACAAAAGGATGGTAATTAAAAAAGAAAGTCCCATAGCCAAATATATGCAGATTTGACAGGTAAGAAAAATCATTACTTGCAGGGAAATAGCTGTGTAACCTGTAATCTTTGAAGTGGGAGAAGTTGTAGAGAATATCTGCTTCTTGCTCAGAGTCCGTAAATTCAAAGTTTGGGTGATTCAGATTCTGAAGGACCTGTTGGAGATCTGTGTAAACTCTGGTAAAAGGGGAGCGAGAAAAAGGTAATGAGAGGAGGGTAAAGGTGTACCAAGATTCCAACAGCACAAATTGATTTACTCAGATTTTTTTTTTTAAAAAAAAAAGATCACGATATTTTAGGATGAACTATGGGTTAGAAATACTTGAATGGGAATATGAGAAAAGTGGAGCTTCACAGCTCTAATCTACAAGTGGATGCTTCAATCTAAAGACCACTTACTTAGATATTCTACCTGTTCCTAGATTTGGGGCCCTAATAAGAAAGTTGGTCTTATACATTTGCAGGCTTGACTTTTGTGAGTTTCAACATTCAAACATTTCTTTAAAATGTTCTCAGTAGGAATATCTAGGACCTTCAGTGCAATTCTATGATTAACTTTTGGAGAATGACCACAGGGTCATGCTGGAACACCTAGAACAGCAGTGGCGAATCTATGACACGCGTGCCAGAAGCGGGACACAGTGCCCTCTTTCCTGGCATACACTTCATCATCCACCCGTCCTTCCTAATATTTAAGTGGTATCTTTTCCCCTGTAATATGAACACATTTTTTGGCCCAGAGAGCAAGCTTGCTGCATCTTGTACTTGACAGCCCTGGAAATACTTGCATTATTAAGATGAGGAAAACACACTCAGATTTCTGCATATCATGCCCATAATTATGACTCTAGTTCACATTTTGGTGTATTTATGGCAACGAAGGCATGCAATTAGAATTCTTGTGGTTCAGCTTAAGAACATCTACATAGATTTTTCAAAAAGGTACAAATTAGCATCCTTTTTTCTCAATGGACAAATGTCACAAAAATTCAATGTGCAGTTTTGACAAATATGAATTTAATAATTATGTGTGGGAATGAATGGAAGAATGGAAAGATGCATGAATGGAGCTAATAATTTGGAAACACCAATATAATATTAAGGCCTGCAAATGACTAACTACCTGCTTGCTGGAACTGTGATCAAAACCTGCTAATGAGAATTGATAAGACCTGTGACAATGGTTATTTCAAGTTAAGGAAATGTTGGCAACATTCCTTATGTTAAGAAGGAAGTCAACATAAGATCAACACCAATCAAGAAGATCAACATCTGGCCAGGAAACTGAGATGGAGCCAGGATGGAGATGCTTATCATTAATTTACAACTTTGGGATTACATCAACAGATTTTTTCTATAAAAGATTCAGTCTAATAATGCTCAAAGTGTGACCGACCTGAGGAGTCTGGTTCACCCGCTATGCTCTGCTCCATGGGAAGGAGAGAGATAGTGTACCTATGGATAGTGGCAGACTTGCACGGGAGCAGTCTGGTCACTTTGGGGCTTATTTCTCAAGGGAAGAGGAAGAAGTGCGCTTTTGGAGTCTTAGATTTTGTGCAGGGAGTCAGATTCTGCTGTATGGAAAACAGAGATCTGGTCCCTGGCATTGTTCTTAGGGAAAGAATGCATTTTGAAGTTTTGGCGTTATGGAAGTTATGGAAATATGCATTGGCAGGCTGTAGGAAAGCAGGGTCTGGCCTAACAGGTGCTTCTCCAAGGAGGGAGAAAATGATATGTTAATACTTGAATGCCTGAGGATGAATGCGTGTATATGTGCATGCATGTTGAGTGAAAATGTAATTCCCCTTTATTTGTTTGATAACCAATACAATTGTAAATCCAATGTAGTTGCATAGAATCTAGAGTCTGTATATCCAATGTCATTCTTTGTCTAAATGTTTTCTGTAATCTGATATACCTTCTCACACTGGAAATTGCAATAAAAATAACCTATGCTTCAAAGTCATTAAAAAGTCATTCATGACACAAGAATGCAGGTATGTTTGAGGTAGAAAGAGGATGGGGGATTTGAGTTAACCTAGTGTTTATTAGGCATACTACTAAAATTCTGGCAGAGGAAAAAGTATGTCTATTACTACAGCTATTTGCCAGATCAACAGCCCAAAGTCCGAGCTGCATCCTTGTACTTAACGCAAGCAAGATGCCCTGTAGCTGTTTTTCGTTTTCTAGTTGTTGTCCTCTTTTACATAACCTGTATATGGCCAAACTCTGCAGGTTTTACAATGTGTTTCCCCTCCTCTGAGATGAGTCACCTCTACCCTCATTTTCCATAAACAATATTGACTTCATGGCCTACAACAGTTCAGTCAATGCTTCCAACTGATTTTTACTGCATTTCATAACACCCATTAACAGTATGTTCTTGGAGTGGAGTACAAAAACACTTAAAACAATAAAACATCAAGAGTACACCAGCCCTGATAATTGAAAACAAGTTTAAATAGCCCCACACTGAAAGTTAGCAGCAAGCATGCTAAAGGTCTAAAAAGCGTAAAAACATGCTCACACTGCAAAGTAGGGATCACAGGAGTGAGTCTCTTTGGAGGGATTATCACAATCAGGGTGCCACCAATGAAAATGTCATTAGCCCACACCCTACATTTTATCTTACAAGGGCTTCTGAAAAGAATGGCAGGCTTCAAGGCAAATACAGATGATGGATGGAGACAATTCTGTAAGGCCAATTCAGATCAGAAAGCAAAAACCTAATGCCAGTGCTACTTTCTCAAATTGCACTATCTACTGGTTGTGTCTGAGAGCTAAGTTTTTTTTTAATGTTACCTTAATACAATACCTTAATACAATATTTTAAGAACAGAACACCACCTTTCTTTTCTATATCTTGCTGTACTATCCATTACGTAACTGAGAGAGATAGTTGGAACCAAGGCTGCATATCAGATCACACAATGACTGGCATCACATTTTTCTCTTGAGTGGTTGGACTTTTAGATGTTGAAAAAGAGGCACAGTAAAATATTACAAAACAAGCCATTGTGGAAATACTTACTTGAAGATTTTATCCTTGCCATAAACTGGAGGCTTTATTGAAACAGGTAGTTTCTCCTTGTTTTCATTTAAGATTGCCTTTAAAAAAGAAATCACAAATCCCCACCAATGTTATGAAGGTTTGCACATTTATTTATAGTTCAAAGCACAGAAACAGAGGGGAATAACCTGCAACCTCTGGCCTGATCTAATCTTGTGCTTCCTCTACCACTGATTCAGTCATATCCCTTCTGAAGACTAAACTATTTACCTGAGCACCCTCTTTAATAATAATAATAATAATAATAATAATAATAATAATAATAATAATAATAATAATAATAATTTATTTCTAAACTCTCCCCGGAGGGACTCAGGGCTCTTTACACATTAAAAATGTCAACGTTCAATGCCTCGAAATAGATACAATAGATACAAACACATTGAAATAATACAGGATAATTGATAGTAACAACAGAAAACTTACAATGAAGGGATTAAGCATTGAAATAAAAATAAAACAGGAACAATCCACTTTCTGTCCCCACCTACTTCTCCAAAAGAATTTAACATTATATCAGACAATAAGAGTATTACTGCAGCCTGTTCTGAAGTGTGTTCATATTCCAACTGGGTTCAATAGGGCATACCCCAGCAGTGTTTGACATTAAGGTTCCAAACAAATAATAGAAATAGGTAAATTTGTGCTACTAAAGTATCAATTTTGACAAAAAAATTGCATTTTCCTTATTCAAATATTTCTGGGCTGTGTCAGAATTCCAGATCAACTAAGTTCACATAAAAACCATATTACAGGAGTTTTAGGATAGTGATTAGTGTCTATTTGTGTATTTTCTTGTTTTTATCTTTTACTGTTGATATGGTCAGTGGACTAATCAATAAACTTTACATACTTGAACAACACTAACACTCCACTTCTATAGTGATTAAACCTCTCTGCAGGTTTTTAACCAGAGGCTGGATGGCCATCCAGGGGTGTTTTGACTTTGCCTTCCATATTACAGAGAAACAGATCTGTGTGTCAACAGCATTCTAGTGACAATTTGCTTCAAATGCCCTCATGGCATTATGAAGGTATTTAAGTAGTACAGGGGCAAAAAAATTGCCCTATAGTACAAGTGCTAGTCAGCCAAAAAGAATACCACCAACACCATGTTCTGGAACTGTTCCCGCAGATATAGATGCTTCTAAATCCCATTTCATTCTATCATTTATAGTTTGTGACCAAGCTCATTTATCATGTCATTCAGTCCCAAAATGAGATTGAAACATGTCTAGATACTCATCCAGCAATAACTGGAGTTGCTTCAGGACCTTTACTAGACAAAAAGGTTGAAGAGCAAAATCTATGGGACCCACAGTAAGGCATCTTAATCACAATTTGGAGGTCATTTGAAGTGCTATGTAGTTATTATCTAACTGTTTAGTGAACACACAAAATGGGAGTAGACTAGCCCACCCCAATGCCTCCTACTATACCACTTGTGGAGACTAAGAAGTGTGAAAAGGAATGCTTCCTCTACATGTGGATACTCTGCATTGGGTACTATGATTTTTATTTATTTATTTGGTTACTGACAGTAAGGAAAGCACCCATGTGTCAAGGAAGTGCTCCTAAATCATAATGACTTATTGCTCTCCACATGAAGACAGTGACAAAACTCAAATAAAGCAGTTTAGGCAAAAAGTAAGAACTGTACCTGATAGTGATCGTCTGATGGCTCTGTGGTGAAACAGTTGATTTCTAGAGTGTCACTGGATAGCCATGGCAACAGCCGACACCTCCTGAGTAAACGATCGGTTTCCCCATAGGCAAAGTCACGGGTAACTTCCTCTGCAAGAAAAAAAAGACATTTTGTAGGAATTTCTGAACACTTGCCATCAACTCACCTTGATTTTGTAAATTCCAATCACTAACTGTCCAATGACAAGACATTTAGAATCCCGTGCATGCATATCTGTTTTCTGTATCTGTTTTCTGTCAGCTCAGCATCCTGGCTTGACAACCAGAGACATAACTCATCTCCTTCTCTTTTTAAAAACATACCTGTTGTAAAGATACACTTACCACCATTTTCAAGGTCTCTTAAGGGCCAAAGAACAGTATAAGCAATATGCTGTGGCATGTAAAACAGTGGCGCAGTTGCAAAAGTTGGCTCATCTGAATGTTGAATCCGGGATCCAAATTCATCCATTATGTACCATACTGAAACCTTGTCCTCTGCTGTCTATATATGAGAAGAACATGGTTATATATCATTAGAAATATCATACTATGGTTCCTCTTCCATTTCCACATCTAGTTTAAAGTTGGTTTGGGGCTTCAAAGCCCTGGATGATTCACATTCTGAATATTTAAAGATCCGTGTCTCTGTAGGCCTAATCACACATTGAGGTCTTCAACAAGGCACTGTGGGTGCCTCTTTCATTAGAGGCTAGATTTGGTGGGGGGGGGGGGGGGTTTACAAAAAAGATGCTTCCCCCAGAGAGCTTGCTGGTACCTGTTTTAATGGTATTTCAGCAAAAGATAAAACCATTTTTATTTGGCCAAGCTTTTTGGAAACAATTTTAATCCTGGTGACCATTTTAACTAAAATTGTGTATTTCCGTTATTTGTGTGTTTTCATTATCTTTTCTTTATTTCTTTTCCTTTTTTGGTAAATCAATTTGGAATATGGCTGAAGGTCAATACCATGAAGGGTAAGTACTTAGAATTTCAAGGACAGAATATCATGATAAATATGGCAAAAAAAGATTACAGAATGGCTGGACCACAACCCCTGCCCTTCTCCTTCCCACTAGATTACAGACTCTTCCTGATTTTTCCCCATCATAAAGCACTTGCTTTTGAAAGTATTTCAAGTATATTTCATTTATTATACAGAAAATCTGCATGGAATGAATGGCATTCCCCTAATTCATTCTATACAAGGTTCATCAAACTGCACTGGAAGTAAAATGCAAAATCCTTTGGGAACTGAAATATCTCTGTGCTCTGTTAAGACATGTAATGTTCATTTTTAAGATTAAAAAAATGAATACTGGTGCTGTATGTGTCTTTATCTGCTCAATACCACCATATTCCTTCTAAGTTCAAATACCAGTATTGTAAGGAGCATGCATTCTTTATCTGAATTTCTCCTTGTTCTTCTTAGCATAAGCATGTTCTGCTGAAATATAACAGCACACAAAAAATAAAGGGAATGGAACGAAACTTTTGGAAGATTTATTTCCACAGAATTTCCACAAAATCTTCTTATGAGACTGCTTTATCTTGCAGTTTTTTTTCATAACATGAATGTTATCAAAATATTCTATATTATTTAATTGTCTCACTTAAGATCAGCAACAATTTAGTGCATTCCTCTTATGGACGTACCCCCGAGGAGAGCTGGTAGGTTTGGTTGTATTTCCACATTTCCTCCAACACTTGCTCAACAGCTCTTTCATCTGGTGCTTCCCCGTGGAATTCTATTCCCATCAAGTTGGCCATTCTATGAAGCAAGCCAGGGACCACTAGCAGCTGCTGGTGGGCATGTCTCACGCGGTAGGTCCAGGCATGGTCAATCAGAAAAATGCTTTGAAGACAAGGTGTTGCCATGTAAGAGCAGAATGCACCACATATACTGTACATTAGAGTGATCTTTGAGCTTTGATTAACAAGGAATTAATCTACTCAAGAGAGGACAGTGATACAAGACAAGTATCCAAGGGGGAAACATTCCAAGACCACCATTATCACCCATCATCCTTAGATATCTGAAACTGTGGATAATAGCAAATCCTATATTTTGACTATACTTGGGCCAGAAGCATACCATAGACTAGACTGGAGGATTGAGCAGGATTCACAAACGCTTCTGGAGGAAATATTTTTTGGAGAATAAGTAAGCCAAGCCACGGATTTTGAATTCACTAAAGAACATACTGTAATGTCCTGTATTACATCCCTCATCTCGCAATTGTAAAAATTACTTGTGATATATAACTTCAACTCCTTTATTCAACGTCTCACCAAATTACACTCCTTCTACAAGAAACATACCCTTCCATCTGCTCCCTTGAGTAACCTCTGGTTCATGCCTTGGTCAACTCTCACCATGGCTACCACAATATTTTCCTCTCTTGAATGCCATTCCCTCAATCTGGCCTCTTTACCTCTGCCAGCAAAACCATTCATGTCTTTTGGCATATAATACTCTAAGCTGAATTTTTAAAAAATCATTTGCTCATAGATTCCAAGCTTATTATTTTTCTTTTTACAACTCTCCCAGGACTGGCACTTTGTCATCTTTCCATCTTTGTATTCAGATACATATTGTATCCTTCCTACCTCCAAGATCCACTAATCTGAAAGCCTTCTGATACCTCATACAATCTCCAATCTTTTCTCCCTCCTGTATGCATGTCATCCAGATCACTTGTGAAATGACACCTGTCATTACCTCCTACAAATCCCTCTTTAAAACTCATTTCTTTGAAATCTTTGAAATAATCCTAGCAGTCTGTGTTAGGAGCTTGGGGGAGGGATTGCATTTTCTATCAACTTCATCTAGGGCTGGGATCTTTTTATAAAACACCATTACATTCAAATCTATTGTAGAATAGTAACTTACCTATCAGGATTTGCTTCTTGAAGTCCATTCTCATTGGTAACTATTACCTTGTAACAAAGTTCATTGCCAGGATTTAATTTCTTTTTCAGTTCTTCCTGTATCTCTTCACCACCTTCTGTTTCCTCCTCTGCCTCTTCCACTTGCATTATTCCAAAATACTCTCCAGCATCAAATACCTGAAATCAAAACCAAAACACACATTTGAACTAAAATCTACAAAACCTGAGATTTAAAAACTTTTAGGAACAAATACTAATGTTAAAATTTCCCAACACACAATTCCATTTCTTACAATGAAATGGTAAAATCCTGGAAATGCCATAAGATGGCTGTTTTTGCTGTTTCATGCTATGTTTCTTCAACTTTGTCACCATAATGGAACCCATACCTGCTTGGAACATACTGAATTGGGAAAGAACTTTCCTTGAAATTAAACAGGTGGTTGACACATGCGAGTCAAAATGGGAGTAATAAGCAGGATCCTGTCAGCCTATTCTTCTTATCCTAGCTCTAGGTACCCTGTGTATCCTTAGCAAGGTTGCTGCTCTCAGGTGTGACAGAACAGCACTCCTCCACATGTTGATTCACAGCCTGTGCCAGTCTATGAATCATAGGCTGCCAGTCTATGCTAGGAGCTATGAGAATACAACTTAACTACAGTAAATGTCTCTGGGTGTATCTACAGCACAGTATGATTCAACTACCAGTTTAGTTTACCTTTGTACATGGAATGAGGTGGTGGTGTCAAAGCATAAGTTTGTCCTTTGCCTCAGGCAACAACATTTCTTCAACTGATCTTATAGCACAGAAACGATTATCTAAAAACAATGCATCTTTGAGGTCTTGTGATAATCTAAATCTCAGGACTTTTAAATTAAGATGTACAAATGTGAAAACAAATATTTCTGATTCTAATTTCAATATTGATCACACTTTAAAAACCTAGGTATTTTTGTATCTGCTGTAATAGTTTCCCAGTAACTGCCTGATCTGCTAACCAACACCAGATGTTTAAAAGCACCATCTCTATATTACACAAAGGCGTCAGACATGGAACAATGAAAACCAGAAAGAGCAGCCAGCACTGTCTGCAAAAACAAACTCAGCTGCCATGGAAACTTTAAAAAATCTGAGCATAGTAAACAATCTAGTCTCTTATCATCTTTCAGTGTTTGTCAAGAAACTTGAGACAGGTGCACTTTCAAATGAAAAGGGAAATATGAAAACTTAGGAGCTGGTTTTACAGTGCGTCCAGTCCCAAGGATTGCTATACCCTTTTTCAATTTCATGTCATTCCTTTCTTCTATCTGGCCAGATACTGTCAAAAACATACAGATCTTGGAAACTCAAGGGTCCTTTACACATAGAATTCATGCAAAATATATGCTGTATGGAGCCCCGGTGGCGCAGTGGGTTAAACCACTGAGCTGCTAAACTTGTTGACCGAAAGGTCGCAGGTTCGAATCCGGCGAGCTGCATAAGCTTCTGCTGTCGGCCCCAGCTTCTGCCAACCTAGCAGTTTGAAAACATGCAAATGTGAGTAGATCTATAGGTATCGCTCCAGGGGGAAGGTAATGGTGCGCCATGCAGTCATGCTGGCCACATGACCTTGGAAGTGTCTATGGACAACACCGGCTCTTTGGCTTAGAAATGGAGATGAGCACCACACCCCAGAGTCGGACACAACTGGACTGGACATGTCAGGGGAAAACCTTTACCTATATGATGTACACCAAGCTGTTGGGACAAAATTATTCTTTGATGGTTCACATATAAAATTTGAGTATTCTGTTCCAAAAAGTGACATTCCCTGCTTAGGAAATATATGTTAGACAAGTTCCAAAGAAACTGAAATAATATTTTTTTTAAACTTTGAGTGACTAACTGGCTTGTGTGCTTTATATAGAGTCAAGACAAATGATATGTATTATATAGAGTCAAGACAAATGGTATGTATTTACATGGTATCAACTAATAGTTCTATGTTTCAATAAAAGTTTCCACTCCTTTAACTGTTTTTCAATTTTGAATTTGGTTTTCAAAAAGGTATGTATGAAATCCGATCTTTGGATAATCTCCCCATTGTTCATTTTAAAGAACAGGTTTGTACTTATCCCTCATGTTTAACAAGAGTGAAAGAATGAATGCTCTTATCCACTGAGGCGAAAAACCAATTTTGGGTCACAGTTGTTGGGTGGAAAACCCTGTTCTGGGCCTAAAATGGCTCAGAAAAGGTCAGAATTATGACAAAAATAGAGATATAAAAGCCCGAGGGAAAAAAAAACTACACAAAATGTTTTTTCTCTCTCTCCAAACAATCCTCCTGCTCCCCAAGTTTCTTTTTTCCTGGAAAACTCGGGTGTAGAATGATCATGGAATGTTTTCTTTTAATTTTTCTTTAAAAAGCATTTCAGTATCAACTATATTTCAGTATCTTGTCCTTCCTATTCTGTTATCTTCTTCCACTTCCATGCATTTCTTGTTTTAAAATAGTTCCTTATCTCTTCTGGCTAACCTCTGGAATTGTGCATTTAATTGGGTGTATCTCCCCCTATCACTGTTTCCTTTTGCTTTCCTTCTTTCTTGGGTTACTTCCAGTGTCTCAGCAGACAACCATCTTGCCTTCTTGGTTTTCTTTTTCTTTGGGACGTACTTTTTTGCTGCCTCCTGAAGAATGTCGCGGACTTCTGTCCATAGTTCTTCTGGTACTCTATTTATTAAATCTAGTCCCTTAAATCGGTTCTTCACCTCCACTGCACATGTGCTAGGAATGTTAGTGAGATGAGATCATATCTAACTGATCTGTGTGTTTTCCCTAATCTCTTTAGTTTGATTCTAAATTGTGTAATAAGAAGTTTGTGATCTGAACTACAGCCAGCTCCAGGTCTTGTTTTCACTGACTGGACTGATGTCCGCCACCTTTGGATGCAAAAGATGTAGTCAATATGATTTCGGTGTTGATCATCTGGTGAAGCCCATGTATAAAGCCGTCTTTTGGATTGTTGGAAGAGTGTGTTCGTTATACAGAGTGAGTTTTCCTGGCAAAATTCTATCACTCTTCGTCCCGCTTCATTTTGTTGTCCAAGACCATGCTTGCCAGTGTTCCCAGTTGTCATTTGACTTCCCACCTTAGCATCCCAGTCTCCTGTAATGAAAATAATGTCTCTTTTTGATATATTATCCAGTAGGTGCTGCAGATCCTCATAGAACTGATCTACTTCTGCTACTTCAGCAGCTGTGGTTGGGGCGTATATTTGGATCACTGTGATGTTAAATGGCTTGCCTTGCACTTGAATTGAGATAATTCTCTTATTTTTGGATTGTATCTAAGCACTGTTTTAACGACTTTATTATTAATTATGAAGGCTACTCCATTTCTTTGGTGTTCCTCTTGTTCGCAGTAGTAAATCTGGTGGTCATCTGATGTGAAGTGGCCCATTCCAGTCCATTTCAGTTCACTGACCCCCAGAATGTCTATTTTCAGTCTTGACATCTCACCAAAAAAACCTCCAGTTTGCCCTGGCTCATAGATCTTACATTCCAGGTTCCTATGGTGTGCTGATGTTTAGAGCATCATATTCGTCGTTCACCTCCTGCATTGTCAGCCTTCCTTTCAGCTTTGAGCTAGCTGAGTCATCACATATGGGGCTTGTTGAACTTAGTCTCTGCTCCTCCTCAGTAGCATTTTGACCATCTTCCAACCTGGGAGTCCCATCTTCCGATTGCATACCAATGTATATCTGGTTGTACTGATCCATTTAGTTATCTTGGCAACAATACTGGGGTGGGTTGCCATTACCTTCCCCAGAGATGGCATTTGGTCTGACCTCTCTGCCATGACTGACTCGTCTTGGGTGTCCCTTCACGGTTTTGCTCGAGGCATCATTGAGGTGCTCAAGCTCTAGTGCTGTGACAAGGCAGCGACCCTATAAGCATTCACAAATGTTATTTGAAACTTTTTCAGTAGGTCTATATGCCTCTAATACAAAGAATACCAGGTTTTATTGTGATGAATAAATAAAATACAGGCTGACAGAAATCATAGTTAATGAGTAGAAGAAAAAGGCTGGTTCTCTTGATATCTATTATATGTAAAGCCAGAACCACAATCCTTAAAATAAACCATGCTGACCATGTGTGTGTGTGCATACCTTGAAGTCATCAGTCTACTTTATAATAATCCTATTAGTTTCATAGTGTTTCCATAGGCAAGTATTTAGAAATGGTTCCAACAATTCCTTCCTCTGAAATACAGACTACAGCCCCATGCAGGCTCAGCATCTCTTATATGAAATGCTTGAAACAAGAAGCGTTTTGAATACTTTTTAAAGGATTTTGAAACACTTGCACTTACATAATGAGATAACCTAGACGAGAGATAGGACAAAAGCCTAAACAAGGAAATACCTTTCCTACATATACACCTTACAAAGATAGCCTGAATGTAATACAATTCACAATATTTATAATAATTATGTGCATGAAATAAAGTGTGCGCACACTGAAGCATCAGAAAAACAAAAGGTGTCATGATCTCAGCCACACATGTGAACAACTTCAGATTTCAAAATAGTGGAATTCCAGAATTCTGGAGAAGGCTTAATCAACCTCTACACATCAACTGCATACATCTGGGTCACCATAATTCCGCAATGCTAAGTTAAGTTCAGTATGTTCCCCACGAGTCTTCCAGAACTACTAATATCAAAAAGATTTTTTAATATAAATCTCTGGTCACTAAAAGATATTGCATCATTTTCTTAGGACATGCCCAGATGGCTGCACAGTGCCTACGTATGTAGGGCAGCACAGTTTGAATGACCAGAAGTCGATCACTATTGATTTCCTGGGGGGATCTTTTTCGGTTTTGTAGTTCCATCTTCCTCTATAGCCCACTTCGTATTCCCTAGTAGACACCACCCAAGTATTAACCAGGCTTGACCCTGCTTAACTTCCATAAGAAGAGTCAGTCTGATGCCTTCAAGATATACAAACTTATTTAAATCAAATAAGCCAATGAACACCAGGTGCTGTCAGTTATATTTAAGGAATTGGCAAAGCGACCTTTGAGTATTCCTGGCCTAAGAAAACCTTATGGAATTGATGAGTCCACAGGTAACTGGAAGACATCAGTGAAACACATGTGCCATCATAAAGATCCCCTGCAAAAGTCAGATCATTGCATTGTTTCAGATTACTGTCACTCATTTGAAGAATAAATAGCATATTACTGACAAGTGATGGACTAAGTGCTCAATAACCTGTGTATGGAAGAAGAAGCCACAAAATACAGTATGTTGAAATTAATCTCTTGCATGTTTTGAAGGAGTTCCACCTTTCCAAAATTTCCACTGAGAGGCGTGTAACAGAAAAAAACAAAAATTCAGAATATTTAGAACCATCCTAATGCATAGTTCTCCTTTTGGAAAAGAGGTGAACATTCAACCATTATTCTCCAAACAAAATACATACTAATTACATAATAAAAGCCATCCCATCTGCCAGAACAAGCCAACTTTTCCAGGAAATAAAAATCTATCTCAAGAAAGTAATTTAACTTGTCAGCGCAGGTTAGCCTTCTCATCAGCTGGATTAACCTTTCAGGATGGCATGCAGCTCTCTGGAAATAGATCAGGTTCCAACCTGCAGCACCATTAAAAATCTGTCAGAATGGTGGAAGCTGCATAATTCAAGTGGAGTGCAAGTGCACAACAAGAACAGGTTTATATTAGAAAGTAGTTTGATTATTCAGAAGGGCTTCAGAACTCATTTAAGTTGTATTTACAGTCTTTTAGTTTGCTCCTATTTAGCTATATTAGGGACAACTCCTGTCCGCCCATGTAACTATGTGGTAATTCTCCTTTCCTTGTAGCCCCAAGCTGGAGAACTGGCCTGGGATCTGCTCAGTGTTGTTCTAAGGATAATTCAAGTTTGGTGATCTTCTGAGGTGCAGCACCTAAAGCCAAGCAGTGGTTTGGATACCATCCTTGTTATAGTATGTGAATATATATCGCTCTCTGTGCGTATATACCTGGACGAGGAGCAAGATCTACTGAACAGACTACCCCAAAAGTGAAGCAAAAGTGTGAGGATGTGAGAACTGCCCCACTTTGTTGTAGCACACTAAGTACTGTCTGCCTTCTCTGCCTGGGAATGCCTTCCTTTCAGAGGCCTGACTGGAACCATCACTGGGTAACAGTGATAGGACCAGCAGGTCCCTCGAAGTGATGCTGGCACTTCCTAAATTCTGCCCTTTGCTTAAATATGACATCAACTCATACATAAGTATATACAGCAATTGTATAATTTAATAAGTTTTAGACAAGTTTCCACTTTTTATTTCAAATAAAGACCATATTATAATAAATTAAATAAATGTATATACAAAGAGCAAACATTTAGCCTTCAAAATTGTTCAGTGAAATAACTAGAGGCTTAAATGTATCTGCTTCCAAATAAAATAAAGGGTATATCTTTTTCAACTAGATTCTTAAAAAACAAACAAACCAGTGAGTCATCCCACATGCTCCTGCATGATGCCAGAGCTTGCTTTCACCCTTCAGCTTCTAAATGCATAAAGTCAATAAATAGATGCACAACAACTTTAAAAATGCCTTGTCTTTTTTCTTCTCTCATCGCCCACTTTATTTGGATTGTGAACTTTTCTTACAAGGAATGGTTCCACAGTATGCAACACTATTGCTTTCTGTTGAGCTACACATTCCCTTTCCAGTTTTGTCTTAATATCTTTCTGGCTGTCACTGTCTTTAACATAAGAAGTTGGATTTGTATACTAAATATTTTGCACTGAAATCTGAAACAAGTTCAACAGCATTCTGTCCAGATATGTATACTTCTCACTTGTAACCAATGTATGCATTCTCATTTAGAAGCACAATTTTAATGATACTCAGTACTCAACAATATTGTCAACATGCAGTGTAAATTGATAGCATCAAAATTCTCTGTATTACTAATTCCTTAAGCACACCGAATTGAATTGAGAACACAAAATAGTACTGTACCAACAGTAAAGTGTGTTTGGTATAGAAATGAGACATTACTCTGATGATTGGAAAGCTGTTTTACCCAGTATAGTGTATATTCATGTAGTATATTAGTCTAGAAATTTTGAGTTAAAAAATCAACATAAAATTACTATTGACCTCAGCAACTGGCCCACTGAATGAGAACCAAATCAAAGTCCCAATATGTACATATATTCAATAAATTTCTACATCAATACTAATGAACAGATAAATGAAAAATATCTTAAGGTATTTTGCTACTGTGCTGCATTTTTCATATCAGATTAAAATAAAACTCTTCAGGGAAAATCTGTGATGCTGAGCTAAAAAACATTGCAAATAATCACCTGCGCTGTGCAGTATAAAATAATCTCAAAAACACCGAATATGTGGTTCTGAATGTCCCATATCTCAGTATTGATACAAAAGACACATCCAGTCTATGAATAACTCCTTCAACCCCAACATATCTTTCAACCACCATGTGAGCTGGAGCCTAGAAGTAAAGAAAAATCATGTGTGTAATCACATCTTTAAGATCTAGGAGCCAGACCTTTCTAACCTGGATCAACCTCCACTCCCGAATTAAACATGAATACATTCAATTGCCTGAAAGAAACATGCCGTGCATGTCTGCAAAGCATGATAAAACAGGAGATCTGTGGGAACCCTGGCTTATTTTGGATGAGTAGCATGTTCATGTGTGATTAATTTGGCTAATCTAGTTTGTTTTTCTCTAAACAAACCAGAAAGGGAATCCCATAGTGGTGCTTTTAAAAATGTGTTCATGGACTCCAGCTGGGAGATGTTCCTTAAAGCAAATATTTGTAGTGTATTTTAACTGTTTTGGCTTCAGGTAGGAGTACCCAAGAAGCAAACCTGAGTGTGATGCTCATCAATGGAAAATAAGTACTTCTGTACATCCTTGGCTTACTGTGTTGTGTGAATGTACTCAAAGCAGAATGAGATGCATAAAGTCAATACCACAAGTCATTCTGAACAACTAACCAGTTCATGAAAAACAAGGTTATAAAAGGCTGTACTGAACTTCTGGATACAAAGATCTTTGGATGTACCTGCATTTGTTCAATCAGGACAACACTATGTGTAAAGAGAACAAAGGGTACATCTATAGTTTGGAATTAATGCAGCTTGACACAATGTTAACGGCAATGTCTCAAGACGAACCATGGAAGCTGTCATTTTACAAGGTTTTTAACTTTCTCTCTTCTTGTTAGCCGCACCGAGTCCTTCGGGAGATGTTAGCGGGGTATAAATAAAGGTTAGGTTCTTGTGGGTTTTTTCGGGCTATAGGGCCATGTTCTAGAGGCATTTCTCCTGACGTTTCGCCTGCATCTATGGCAAGCATCCTCAGAGGTAGTGAGGTCTGTTGGAATTAGGACAATGGGTTTATATATCTGTGGAATGGCTGGGGTGGGGCAAAGAGCTCCTCTCTGCTGGACCTAGGTATAAATAAAGGTTTATTATTATTATTTTCTGTCTTGATATTCTTGATTATATGGCTGTGTGGAAGAGCCTGGGTTATCTGAGGGCCCTTCCAGACAGGCCCTATATCCCAGAATCTGATCCCAGGTTTTCTGTTTATCCCGGATTATATGACAGAGCGGACTCCTATAATCCAGTTTAAAGCAGAAAACCTGGGATCACATCCTGGGATATAGGGCCTTCTTGGAAGGGTCCTGTGTTCACAATGCCAGATGACCCAGTTCCAAGCAGAAAATGTGGAATTTTATTCAGCTGTGTGGAGAGGTCAATCCTCCTGTTTAAGGAGCACCATTGGCTGCCGTTTACCTACCGAATCCAATTCAAGGTGCAGGTGCTTACCTACAAAGCCCTAAACGGTTTGGGACCTGCCAACCTGTATGACCGTATCTCCGTGTACGAACCCACGCGCACCCTTCGTTCATCTGGAGAGGCCCTGCTCGCGATCCCACCTGCGTCACAGGCGCGTTTGGTGGGGACGAGGGACAGGGCCTTCTCTGTGGTTGCCCCCCGACTCTGGAACACCCTCCCCAAAGACATTAGACTAGCACCCACGTTGGCAGTCTTCAGGAAGAATCTGAAGACCTGGCTATTCCGATGTGCCTTTCTGGAATAGGATAATCTCCAGCACTACGTCCCAGAAGCACTTTATTAGAGTTTAGGACTCTCTGCACATTGCACTTGCCCAGAATCCCAACATATCACCTCTCACACCCAGCACTTTTTTAACCTGTACCCTCATTGGCCCGGCCCTGGTTTTATTGCGTAATAGTGTAATGTTTTGTTGTTGTTATTGCTTATGTTTTTAATTTGCTTGCATTGTATTGTTATTGTCTGTTGTTGTTGTTTGAGGCCTTGGCCTTTGTAAGCCGCATCGAAAGTCCTTCGGGAGATGCTAGCGGGGTATAAATAAAGGTTTATTATTATTATTTTCTGTCTTGATATTCTTGATTATATGGCTGTGTGGAAGAGCCTGGGTTATCTGAGGGCCCTTCCAGACAGGCCCTATATCCCAGAATCTGATCCCAGGTTTTCTGTTGATCCCAGATTATATGGCAGAGCGGACTCCTATAATCCAGTTTAAAGCAGAAAACCTGGGGTCTCATCCTGGGATATAGGGCCTGCCTTGAAGGGCCCTGTGTTCACAATGCCAGATAACCCAGTTCCAAGCAGAAAATGTGGAATTTTATTCAGCTGTGTGGATGGGGCCATGGTCATTGTGTTATTACCACCTGAGAGGAGGTTAGAACTAGGCCTGGAATCACAGCGTGTCCACTGGGGGGGGGGGGCGCACTAGGCCCCATTGGGATACATTTCCTCCCAAATGCCAAGCGAGGCTCATGTGTTCAGCCTGAGGCGACTGTTGTGGGGAAATGCGTCCCGCTCGGGCCTAGTGCGCTCCCTTCAAATGGGTGTGGGACCTTCGGGAAAGGCCGCCTTCTTACCTCTCCGTCCAGTTTGCGCCACAGGCTGGGCCAGTAGCGAGTCGGGACCCCTGAGGCGCTGAGGGCCGCCCCGTGCAGCGCCACGAAGGCCTCGTAGTGCCTCTCGCAGCCTCCCTCCATGCTGCTCCTGCTGCTGCTATTCCTGCTCCTGGTTGCAGCTCGCTCCTTGAGGAGAGCCGTCGCGAGGCATGCTGGGCCGACGCTCTTAAAGCGGAAGCGCCGAGAGCCTCGCGCGCGCCTCCTTCCCAACAGAGCCGCCTTGATTGACAGGCTTCGCGCTCGCGCTGAAAAAGCGCGCCTCCCGCCTAAAATCCTGCCGCTGCCTCATTCCTTCAGAATGCTGAGGCTTGTCATTCAGTCAGACCCAAAGTTCTTGTCTGGCTGTACCTTTGAAAGGCCCTTCCCCTAAACCACAAGGCCCAGAATCTTGCAGGAAGGAGACCATATTGCTAATATCCACTGGATAATGGAAAAAGGCAGGGAGTTTCAGAGAAACATCTATTTCTGTTTTATTGACTACTAGCTGTCCCCTGCCACGTGTTGCTGTGGCCCAGTCTGGTGACCTTGAAAATCAAGTGCTGGTTTCTAATATATGTAATGTCTTTATGCTTGTGGGTCAACAGTATTTCTTCTTGTTTCTTTGTCAGTGTTGATGTGGAGATTGTCTGGTTTGCCTACTCTGGAACATGCAACATGGAAATTGTCCGTCTTTAGGGGTCCCTTTCAAATCTATACTATATCTCTATGAATCATTTCTATCTATCTAATCCAGGGGTCCTCAAACTAAGGCCCTCCAAGGCCATTTATCCGGCCCTTGCTCAGGGTCAAACTAAGTCTGAAACAACTTGAAAGCACACAACAACAATCCTATCTCATGAGCCAAAAGCAGGCCCACACTTCCCATTGAGATACTAATAAGTGTATATTTGTTAAATTGTTCTTCATTTTAATTATTGTATTGTTTTTAAGTGATTTTTGCACTACAAATAAGATATGTGCAGTGTGCATAGGAATTCATTCATGTTTTTTTCAAATTATAATCCGACCCTCCAACAGTTTGAGGAACTGTGACCTGGCCCTCCGTTTAAAAAGTTTGTGGACCCCTGATCTAATCTATGGCTGGATGGCTCTTTCTCAGGAGGACTTTGATTATGTTTTCTTGCCCTGGTGGAGGGAGATGGACTGGATGGCCTTCAGTATGGGGGTTCTGGCCGCTGTGGCTGTCTGGATGAGGAAGAACAAGCTGAAGATCAATCCCAACAAGACAGAGATCCTCTTGGTCAATTGTAAACCAGATCGGGGTATAGGGGGGCAACTTGTGTTGGACGGGGTTGCACTCCCCCTGAAGTCACAGGTCCGCAGTTTGGGAGCCCTCTTGGATTCATCGCTCACGCTTGAGGCTCAGGCGTCGGCGGTGTCCAGGAGGGCTTTTGCACAATTGAGACTCGTGCGCCAACTGCAACCGTACCTCGCAAAGGCTGATCTGGCCGGCGTGGTCCATGCCTTAGTCACCTCTAGATTGGACTACTGCAATGCGCTCTACGTGGGGCTGCGCTTGAAAACGGCTCGGAAATTCCAACTGGTTCAACGGGCGGCGGCCAGGATGTTAACTGGTGCTCCTTACACAGAGAGGTCAACCCTCCTGTTTAAGGAGCTCCACTGGCTGCCGTTTACCTACCGAGCCCAATTCAAGGTGCAGGTGCTTACCTACAAAGCCCTAAACGGTTTGGGACCTGCCTACCTGCGTGACTGCATCTCCGTATATGAACCCACGCGTTCTCTTCGTTCATCCGGAGAGGCCCTGCTCACGATCCCACCTGCATCGCAGGCTCGTTTGGTGGGGACGAGGGACAGGGCTTTCTCTGTGGTTGCCCCCAACTTTGGAACACCCTCCCCAAAGACATTAGACTAGCAACCACATTGGCAGTCTTTAGGAAGAACTTGAAGACCTGGCTATTCCGATGTGCCTTTCCAGAATAGGATAACCTCCAGCACTATGTTCCAGAAGCACGTTATTAGTTTAAGACTCTCTGTGCATTGCACTTGCCCAGAATCCCAACATATCACCTCTCACACCCAGCACTTTTTTTAACCTGTACCCTTCATTGGTCCGGCCCTGGTTTTATTGCGTAATAGTGTAATGTTTTGTTTTGTTATTGCTTATGTTTTTAATTTGCTTTGCATTGTTATGTCTGTTGTTGTGTTGAGGCCTTGGCCTTTGTAAGCCGCATCAAGTCCTTCGGGAGATGCTAGCGGGGTACAAATAAAGTTTAATAATAATAATAGTTGTTTCCGACTCTTTGTGATTTCATGGACCAGTCCACACCAGAGCTCCCTGTCGGTCTTCACCACCCCCAGTTCCTTCATGGTGCCAGCTGCGTCCGTACCTTGGGAAGTCTGACTTGGCCATGGTAGTCCACACTCTGGTCACATCTTGTATAGACTACTGCAACACTCTCTATGTGGGGTTGCCTCTGCTCGGAAGCTCCAAATGGTCCAACGATCAGCAGCCAGATTACTAACGGGAGCGGGGTACAGGGAGCATACAACTCCTCTGTTGCGCCAGCTCCACTGGCTGCCAGTTTGCTACCGGGCACAATTCAAAGTGCTGGCTTTAGCCTTTAAAGCCCTAAACGGTTTTGGCCCGACCTATCTGTCCGAATGTATCTCCTCCTATGAACCAGTTAGGACATTAACATCGTCTGGGGAGGCCCTGCTCTCGATCCCACCAGCTTCACAAGCATGCCTGGTGGGAACGAGAGACAGGGCCTTCTCAGTGGTGGCCCCTCGGCTGTGGAACGCCCTTCCTACAGAAATCAGATCGGCCCCCTCCCTATTGGCATTCCGGAGGAAAGTGAAGACCTGGCTTTTCAAACAGGCATTCGATTAGGCAGTGTAATTGATTATAGGAATACAGAATAACGGATGATGAGATTGGATTCTGATTCTATCGATGAGACGTGAATGATTTGTCATATTGATGTTTGATGTTTAATTAATTGTTATGCTATTGCTTTTAAATGTCCAATGATTTTGTACTGTGTATATTGAAACTGTTGTTGTTAACCACTCTGAGTCGCCTAAGGGCTGAGAAGAGCAGTATACAAATGAAGTAAGTAAGTAAGTAAATAAATAAATAAATCACTCCCCACATTCAAAGCACCCCGATCCTGAAACACAACCACAGGCTGAGCTCCAACTTCCCCAGCATCATTGTCTTCTCTAAGCCTTCCTGTCTTCATGATGTGGCCAAAGATACTTCATCTTTGCTCTAATATCCTTCCTTCCAATGAGCAGTAGGGCTTTATTTCTTGAAGTATAGACTGGTTGGATCTTCTCGCTGTCCAGGGCACTCTCACAACTTTCCTCCAACACCACAGTTCAAATGCATCTATCTTCCTTCACTCAGCCTTCCCTATCAGGCATGTAGCTGGGGGGGGGGGGGGGGGGGGGCTTTAGGCGCTTCAGCCCCCCCCCCCGAAATTCTCAGGGTGGGCCTTAAGGGTACATTATTTAAACTGTTATGTTTATTCATATCATGATCTGATCACCATGCTCAATATATCCCATATGCATGGGGGTATTGGGGTAATGACACAAAAAGTTTGCTAGGATAGATCCTCAGCATCCCCCTTTGAATCAAACTCAGCCCCTCCCCCCCCGAATCAAACTCAGCACCCCCGAATCAAAATCTTGGCTACAGGCCTGTTCCCTATGGTCCAGCTCTCATATCCGTAGGTGACTATGGGGAATACCAGTGCTTTAACTATGCGGATCTTGGTTGCCACTGTGATCACGCTGTCAACAAAGATCTGCATAGTAAAAGCAATGGTATTCCCCATAGTCACCTATGGATGCAAGAGCTGGACCATAAGGAAGACTGAGCAAAGGAAGCTAAATACTTTCGAACTGAGGTGTTGGAGGAAACATCTGAGAGTGCCTTGGACCACAAGAAGATCCAACCAGTCCATACTTCAGGAAATAAAGCCTAACTGTTCCTTGGAGGGAAGAATATTAGAGGCAAAGATGAAGTACTTTGGTCACATCATGAGAAGACAGGAAAGCTTAGAGAAGACAATGATGCTTGGGAAAATGGAAGGAGAAACGAAGAGGAGCCAAACAAGGGAAAGATGGATGATGAGCTCCCCTTCGGGGGGGAGAAGGGCAGGGTATAAATATAGGAAATAAATAAATAAAAAATGATATTCTTGAAGTGACTGGCATGATCTTGAAGGAGCTGGGGGTGGCCACAGCCGACAGGAAGCTCTGGCGTGGACTGGTCCATGAGGTCATGAAGAATTGGAAGCGACTGAACATCAGGCCTATTCTACATTGCCATATATATATATATAACCATGGTTCTAAAGTGATTACAAAACTTGGTGCTTTGCTTCTATAGTGTTGCTAAAGTTCTGGTGGTGAAAATTTCAGAACTCTAACAAAATTTTCAAAATTTCATTATAAATGGCAGTTCTTGTTTCTGTCATAAAAATCGCCAATAACAAAAAATAATGAAATTTTGTTACAGATATGGTGCTGACTGTGGCACAATTGTGGGGAGGAGGACTTTTTTCTGTGGTTGTTTTTGCTGTGACAGTGACTAATCATAACCTCTGTGAGTCTCCTGTGGAGAGAAAAAGTAGGGTATAAATCAGTGGTTCTTAACCTGTGTGCCATGGACCACCAGTGGGCTTCAAAGATGAAGATCTGATCCAAAAGTTTCCTTCCTTTCTATTTATTTCATTTTTTATTTCCACTCCTTTTGCACTGTCTGCCACTCCTTCCTTGTCACTGACCATGGCACATGTTCTGTATCAGAAACTAGAGCTGATGTGGCCTAGCCAATGCAATTTTCTGAATCAGCACCCCACACCAAATCTAAAGTTGACCAAAATCTGATTCATAACCCTTTTGGTACTAATGTTGGAGAGTGGTCCCTGGTCAAAGTGGTCCCTGGTCAAGTGGTCCCTGGTCAAAAAAAGGTTGGGAACCTCTGGTATAAATCGTCATTGTTAACATCATCATTTTATGAGGATTTAAGAGTAATTGAACACAATTCAACATGATATTTATCTCATTTCAGATTTATTATGAAAGTGATTTAACAAAAAAACAAAACACATGCTTCCTTTTGACCTTTGACAGAGAAAACAAAGCTACCGAGGCACAGAAAGATGTAGAGTTCAACAAGGTACATTTACAACAATTGTTTCAATGACT